AAGAATGGGGAATATCTTGGTTGATGTTGTGTTGGGATAATGAGGGATATTTGGCCTGGGATTTATAGAAAAGGATAGAAGGTTTTATTTGTTTATTAAAAGGTTTAAAAGAAAGAAAATAACAACAAACAAAGGTTGTGGTTTACACACTCTTATTTTCGGCCAGGGCCTAAAATAGGAGTAGGAAAACTTTATTTTGAAAAGGAAATATTTTGGATGTTTAGGGAAGGTATGGAGAGTGTGGGCTCAGCCTAGGGTGGGTGTAGGACAACCATGGTGTTGGGTTGGGTTCTAAGAAAGGAAAATGGAGAAGTTTCAACCCAATTAATGTCACCACACTTGGGCTTTATTCCCCTGATCTGTCTTTCCCTTGGCGGGCTACGGAGAGTCTTTGGGCATGCTCCCGGATATATATCAACTAGGAATGAACAACTAGACGGACACCTTGAAAGACAAGCTTGGGGTTGTGGCTAGGAACGATTTTTTTTATATTCTAACACGTCCCCTCACGTGCAGGCGTAGTCTTTTTGAGCCTAGCACGTGAAACATAAATTTTGGGCAGCATTGAGTTTCAAACCCGTGACCTCTTAGTCTACAAAGCTCCGATACAATGTCAAAGAAACCAACTCAACCAAAAGCTCTGGTTGTGGCTAGGAATGGTTTTTTATATTCTAACAAAAGAGAAAAAAGATCAAATTTTTGCAAAGCAGAGTTTCATTTTTTTGCAGAGCAGAGTATATACCATACAATCAATGACCAAATCAAGAAAATTCAAACGAGTGAAACAGAAATAGCACCTCAAACACGAATCTATCGAGAAAGAATCTGATAGTGGGGAAGAACAACACGAACAGAGGAAGCAATGCGAAATCTTCATAGCTTGGGTAAGATTCAAATTCCCAATCATTCCAGCCCACCATTTCCAGAATCCCCATTTACCCAGATTTTTCCCCGAAAAAAGTGTCCCAATATAAATCCTACGCTGATAACTTGGGCGTGTGTACGCGAAGAAGGCAGACAGGAGTCTGAAAGTTCATTGTTGGGACTTGGAACCTGAGAATCCTGCACCACACAGAGTGGTCCTGTGGGTTTTAGATCTAGCAGGACTGCATGAGGGACCCTGCATTTATATTTTCGAGGGAACCCTTTATTTATATGGAAACACCAAAAAACAATATTTATCATTATATTTGTCACGTTACATAAAACGAATTAAAATTTTAAAATATTTTAGAGTAAATTTCATAAAAGGTCTCCAGTTATATGTCGTTTTACATATTTAGTCTCTACATATTAAATATTACCTATTTAGTCCCCAATTATTATATTCATTTCCACGAATGGTCATTTGTTAACATTTCCGTTAAGAACGTGGATAAAATTGTAAATTGAAAAATGATACATAGAGACTAAATATGTAAAACGATTTATAACTGGAGACCTTTTATGGAATTTACTCAATATTTTAACATATTTGTTTTAAAGATTGATATAGAATTAAAAAATAAAATTTACAAAAAGTATAATTAAAATTTTTTCAAAGCATCACGTGAAAAAATATTTTTATTTAATCGAATAATCAAGAAACAAAAGTTGTCGTAATTTTTGAGTAATCAATTGTGACATGTTTTTTGGGACAGATGGAATAAAAAGACAACACAGGGGTTCCATTATTACCGACTTCGATTGACACTACGGTGTTAATAAAATTTGGGGACACCTAGGGTGTTCCGTTTATAAAAATTAATGGTCCTTACTCTCCACTCGGGAAAACTCCAATACTATGGCCCAGCGCGAACCCAACTTAACTCTTTCAATTTTTTCTTCAAATTTTTGTTGACTTTGGAGGGTGGGGTGGGGGATGACTTCAAAGTCAAAAATTTGAAGGTGAAATCAAAGGGGTAGGGGAATGGGTTCGGGACGTTCGTTTAGTAACTTATGACGACCATTGCCCAATTCTACCCGTCGGGGTCAGGGGTAGAGGTTTTCTAGGGTTATTTGAATTAATAAGTAAAAATTATTAATTTTACGAATAAAATATCGTAGATGTTTCAACTGGAATCCGTGATATCCATTGACACTCAATACAAGCATTTAAGTGTCAACGAACCTAACTGATATTTCATTTTTTTCGAATAGGTTATATTGGCAATCATTTTGATGATTCATTTATAAAATTGATGATTCCAGTGTTAACAGAACCCTCCGATGAAATATCAGGAGTATCATTACACAATTTAATTTTTTTTAACAAGAGTAACTTTTTTGATGGCCTAATAATGAAATGTTGAAAGCCTTTAAGAAGTTAATTTGTAATTACACATAGCCCAAACAAATGGAAGCCCAAATGGCTTACCCGCCAATTTGAACCCATCATCTCTAACTACCAACCTTCCAAACACAGTAGTGTTACTGCTACTGCAGAGGATAAAGGTCTTATCTCGTCCATTTCGCACCTCACACATTCTCCCTCCCATCCTCGCCGGCACAAACCTACCTCCCGCCGTGAAGCTTTCATCTCCGATGAGCTCAATCTCCTCGCAAGGCGTTCATGTCTTCAGGCTTTCGCCCTATGCTCGTGTTGGCAGCAGAAACACAAGGGTTTTCAAGCTCAACCTCCCCAACGTTTCCCGTCCTTCACGGAGCCTACACTTCCTCCGCCGCCCCAAACGCCCCAATTTTGAGGTATGTTGATCTTCATTCGTAGGTCAGAATGGTTTACAAAGGCCTGTGCTTGAATTTTATTTGGTGTCTTGGATTTTGCTCAGGTCGTTTGGTGCTCGATTTGGGGAGATGGGGTCTTGGAGATTGAGGATGCAGCGTTAATAGTATCTACTTGTATTACCAGGACATTGCCTCCTGCTTTGACGCTGGAGCAAGGGTTGGAGAAGATTGAGAAAGCTATTACAGAGCTGAAGGAAAACCCTCCTTGTAGTGATGTGGGGATGCTAAGGTTTCAGGTTGTGTGGATCACCTCCTCTCACTTTTAAATTTATGAGCCATTTGTGATATTCCTATGATTTCTGTCAAGGTGCCATCAATTATGATAGAGGGACAACCAACTTCTTGCTTCTATTGGATTTCACCAAACTAGTCTTTTTTAGTGTAACTAGGAAAGTGATAAATGAGTGTAATATATATTCATGTAATGCTTGCACGTACTACTTCTGTACTTTGTGTGGTATTTTACTGGTTGTGTTGTTGTTTTTTGTTGTAACGGTTGCACACCTATGGCTCATTATATTTGCCTCAATGTTAAATGGAGTCTGTGGAGTTGGAAGTTTGAATGCTCGAGTCTAGAGACCGAAGTCTGAAAATCGATGCTTGAATTTTGGAATCTGGATGTAGTAGTACTTTTAATTACTTGTCCCTAAATAACCTTTACTTTACGATATTTGAGAGAAGTTATTTTCAATTCAATTTATTTGAATATTGGTACAAATATAAAAAATGAAATTAACATATTTAAAAACTACATCTAGTTTATATAAAAGTATAAAACAAAACGTGACATGACTATTTTATTATAACAAATGATTAACATAAATAAGTAAATAAATAAGAAATAGTTTGACTGCGTGTATAATGAAGTTTATTTAGGTGCATGGGGAGTAAAATCTAGAAACTGGAGTATAGAGGTTGGAGTCTGTGTCTATCGGAACACTGGAACATAAAGTTTGGAAACTAGAGTTTGGAGTTAGATGGCTAGATTTAAAAGTTGAGGATAACATACTCTAAGTAGTTTAGAAAGGAGAAGATATTACAGTGTTAATGTCAAGGAACCAACTCAACCAAAAGATCAAGCTTGTGGTTGTGGCCCAGGAACAGTTATTTATATTCTAACACGCCCCCTCACGTGCAGGCGTAGTCCTTTTTTCGAGCCTTGCACGTGAAACCTTAATTTTTTAAACTGGGTGACGCTGAGTTTCGAACCCGTGACCTCTTAGTCAACGAGGCTCCGATACCATGTCAAGGAACCAACTCAACCAAAAGCTCAAGCTTGTGGTTGTGGCCCAGGAACAGTTATTTATATTCTAACAGTTAATTTAATGAGAATATCAATTTTGAGTATACATCCACACCCCTTAAGATCTAATTGAATACAGATTTTTCTGTTGATGGTTTTTTTTGAACTCTTGATGGTTGTTCGTTAACTTCATAATTATAAGATTTTCTTAAATTCTTTTTTTGCTTTGCTCATGCCACACTTTATATATAGGTTGCAGTGCCACCTAGTCCGAAGTCTTTGAGCTGGTTTTGCTGTCAACCAGAGACATCGGTCGTGTTTCCATTATTTTTTCTTTCCAAGGAGAGGGATCAAAAAACATATAAATCTCTTTCTTTGGGTAGAACCCGTGGGGTCTTTGGAATCGGGTCTACAATAATCTTTAAGGTCCTTTCTTCATCCAATAAGGGAAAATTGAATGAAATTGGAAGGTAGTTTTGACTCTTAATTGTTTCCTTAGCAATTTGATTGCAAGTGTTTCATAAATCATCGTTGCTCTATTATTAGTCTATCACCATATTCAATTCTTTTTTGTAATCTTAAATTTCATGATAGTGTTATTATAGTGACTAATTTTTTTTAGTAACACCATGATATGATTAACATGAATTAGAGCCAGACTAGATATATTCTTGTGGATAGAAAAGGTAAATGCTATGCTTGTATAGAGTGTATGCATGGGCGCTCTGCACTGTGAAACTAACTCTGACATAGAGTAAAGAGAAAATGGAGTTACCTTTCACATCTACAACAACAATAACAACAACCACATTGAACTGTATAATCGCAACTCCATTGGGGTTTGGGGATCAAGATGTACAATCTCACCCTTAAAAAAATGGTGAGGTTTCTGTTAGGCCCTGATTGCATGAAAGCATTTGCTGTTCAAAACTTCTAAGAAAGTGAGAAACAAAAAAAGCTTAGTGGGCCATTTTGATTTAGCCCATTATGTTCACAAAACTAAAACATTGTAAAAAATGACTCTCTCAGCTTCATTGGCAATGGACATAAGTCACCTTTCAAACAATCACACTTATATTTGGCAATTGGAATAATTAGAATTCATCAAGGAGATTTTTCCTGTCAATCTCAAATCGGTGTGTTTGGGAAATTAGAACTTTTTATGAGCAAAGTTTGGCACACATCACTTGACATAGTGCAGTGTAAATAGTTTTTATTATTTAATTTGGTTCAAAAGATAAAACCAATCTAAATATAGATAGGGAGTGATTCATATCTGTGCATTTTTGCTAGTTTGAACAGTTAGCATGGGATATGCATGCCTTTTTTCTCTAGATGAGATCACATATGCACATTTACTCATTCCCATAAAAAAGAATAGAGGACACTTACTGTTTTGGAATGGGGTTGAACAAAATGTATTTTCACGATTGAAATATTTAGTAAAACTTGTACCTTTTATTCTTGTAATCCTAATGGTAGTTTTATGAATGGGTTTAAACAAAATTTATTTTAGCAATTGTAGGAGGATTTAGTGAAAGATGTCCCTTTACTCTTATTGTTCTAGTGATAGACCTCATAAACTTATAAATTTAAAGAAAGTTTACTAGATATTTCATTTCTCAATATTTGGTATTCCTTGGTAGGCATTTGAAACTTGTAGGCGCTGATTGCTTATTGGTTCTGTTAAAGTTTCACATTCCATGTGGAATGAAAACGGTTCCATATTAGTTATGATGAATTGGTACTGTTGCAGACATTTTTACATTGATCCAAAACAAATAGAGGCTTATGGACTTTTTGGTACTGGTTCTGATAAAGTGATATCTTTCATGAAGCATGAGGCAGATGCTGTTTACTTTTTTATCCCCCAGGTAATTTTTTTATCCCTTGTTACACACTTTTTTTGTGTTTCCGTTGATGTTTTCGAACAATTTTTGAAACAAAATCATGATTACTTTTTACAGTTTCTTGATTTTGTTGTTGTATACAACTATTTAAGCTACTTATACAGAGTACTGTAAATTGAGAGAATTTTATATCCGTAGATCACACTAGATGAGGTTAAAGGTACTTCAATCTTGACAGTGCAACTGGCATGGAATGATGCGTCTATGCGCACCCTTGAAGAGGCTTTTCGAGCCTATGATGTCTGTTTTCTTCAGGTATTCTCTGAATCCTTTCTTTATGTGTCGCCAAGTTATTTTTCTTCTGAAGTTCAGTCATGGCCTAAAAGTTTAAATCTGAACAGGTGGGTGCTTCATATGTCATCTTTTCCTTTATGAAACTTTATCTGCACATTTTTTTCTGGTTATCTTTTATTTTTCATTTTATATTCAATTTTCAGGTTAAACAAAACTGTTTCATCAAATCAGGAAGATGCGGGAGCATATACATTAGCAGTACTTTTCAGAAACTTAACACGATAGAGGACGAAAATGTTGAAATGGTAACAATTTTCAGTTTTGAAATATGCTCAGAGAAACCATAATTCCCAATGAAAATTTGGCGTTACCTGTGCTACTGCTATTTTATTTTGTTTTTCCTGCTAACTCCCCCCCCCCCCACACACAAAAAGAAGAAGAAGAAGAAGAAAAGATCTTCAAATTCGTAACTTAATTTTTTGTGTACATCCTGATTGTTAATTCTGAGAGGTTAAATT